AGAAATTGGCTTCTTAACTTAGATATATGCAAGGGACTCTCAGAGTTTGTGGATCGCTGCAATTCCTTGAACAGTTAAAGGAAATTAATGCAGTGCTTATGTGCCCGTGCTGATCAACATTTTTTTCTAGTATATATTGTCAGAATTCAAAAAAAGAAAAAAGAAACATGATCATCTTAGAAACTTAAGGGAAAGTGAAAGTCAAAGTTCTGAAATAACCAGATATGCTTTTTTAAGAAAATTTATTTATTTTTACATGGTGCTGAGGATCAAACCCAGTGCCTCACATGTGCTAGGCAAGCTCTCAAACACTGAGCCACAACTCCAACCCCCACCAGATATGCTTTTAATTAGTGTTTTTAGTTTGTAGTCTCCTAGACCATAGACTCCCTGATGATGTTCCATTTAAATTAAGTAAAATTTTCAGTGATCTATGGCAAAATGAAAAATTAGCACAGTGTAATGTGTGTATTTGCATAAATTTTAGATGTCCTTGATTTTTGAAAGATGTCTACTTTTTAAGCTATAAATTTATTTTAGAGAAGTTTTAGATTAAAAGAAAAGTTATAAAGAAATAATACAGGGCTGGATTGTGGCTCAGTGGTAGATTGCTTGCCTAGCATGAGTGAGGCACTGGGTTCAATTCCCAGCACTACATAAAAGTAAACAAAATAAAGGTATAAAATATTTTTTAAAAAAGAAAGAAATAGTACAGGGGATTACACTCCTCTCCCATCCATTTTTCTTACTGTTAACATTTTATGTTACTGTGCTACATTTGTAGTACCAATATTGATACAAAATTATTGGATTTTATTAGTAAGTACCCTTTTTTCTGATTGCAAACCTCTGGGATATCACATTACATTTAGTCTACAGTGCTAAGTAAAATTTCTCAGGCTTTTGAGAACAACGGTCTTTCTTATAAGTCAGGATTTGTGTTCCCTGCTTTCTTTTGTCTTAATATTCTTGTTTGGGAAAATAAGAAGTTGGAAATCCTCTGTCAGTTTTACTGGTCTGTGAAATCCAAAAGTCAGTATGATGATGATTAACAATGAAAAAGTCTCCAGGTTTTGTAACTTTTATTCAGTAGTAACTGCTGTTCCCATTTATCCACCCTCTCTACCTCCACCCAACCTCATTATAGTCTGACTTTAGCCCCTTTAATTTTACCTGAATTGTGCTGGCAGAAACCACCAATGATTTCAGTACTCTCCCTCCCTCATCCTTCCTTCTTTCTTCCTTCCCATTCATTCCCTTCCCTCCCTCCCTCCCTCCCTTCCTTCCTTCCATTTCTTATCTTTCTTTGCAGCATAAGAAATAATTCTTTTGCATTTTCTTCCTGGGTTCCTGCCACACTACAATTCTTATTCTCCTTCCACTCTGATTTTTCTTCTTTGCTTATTTCATTTCTCCCCCGTGCATTTTAAATGGTGACCCTGAGAATTTCATCTCCTGCCCTTTTTCTCCTTTTGCTTATACTTATCCTTGGCTTTAATCATCATCCTTGTTCTTACTGAACTCCAATCTCAAATTCAACCCTCTTTCCTATATTCAGTTACTTCCTAAGTTAGTAAATATCCATGTTGATTGTCCCATATTCAAACCAGAAAATAGTTGTGGTTTGATCTTAAATATATGAGAGGTAATAGGAAATTAAATGATATCTAGGCAAATAAGGCCTGAATTGCTAAGATTTCATCAAGTTGGCAAAGAATAAGTCATATATTTCTTTTGCACTTTTTAAAGAATATGGTAGTTGTAAAATAGTTTAAACTTATGTGTCACCATTATCTACCCATAATTTTTACCTTTAGCAGACCTTAACTTAAAATTGGAGTAGCTCCAGTAGCTTTAATCTACCTCAGTTTCTTTGCCCAGAATAAGATAATATCAGAGGAGAATGCATTAAGGGGCTGAGGGTATAAATGGATAGTCTGGGATGCCAGCAGAAAATGTAGTATATGCCAAAGTTTTTTGAACCCTGGTGCAGGTAACCTTGATCAGGGAGTCCAAATTGTTTGTTTCTTGGTACCAGAGAATTCCTGATAATGAGTGCTGGAAATACTCTGAATTTTGTACCAACTGTATAGTTTTACTGTTAATTTTTTAAGAAAATTTTAGTTGTCACTGGACCTTTATTTTATTTATTTATATGTAGTGCTGAGAATTGAACCCAGTGCCTCACACATGCTAGGCAAGCGCTCTACCACTGAGCCACAACCCCAGCCCAGTTTTACTGTTAATTTTGATAATATGTTTGTTTTGACTGCATTAAAATAGGGAAAGGTGTTAATGAAACAAAGATTCTCCTTGGGCATTTTAAATAGGGAGTAGGGAGATGGGGGACTGATTATAAAATAAGATTTTAGGTTAAGTAGTCTTAAATTTCTTTATGTCATGAAAATCTAATGAAGCCTATGCACAATTAGAAAAATTTGTATATATGCAAATTGCATACAATTTCAGGGATTCACAGAACTGAGGCCCATTTAGACCCTGCTAAGTCAGTTTCTATATTTTTGGACAGCTTTTTTCTTTTTACTCAATTCATGATGAGTTGAACTTGTTGTGGAGAAGATGCTACTGAAAGGTATAGGTTTAATTTTTATAAGGGATATTTAGTTATAATTTAGAAACATCTCAAATTTAAATGTTTTTTGTTTGTAATAAATACACACATACATTCACATAGTCTGCATACCATTGATTATAATATGATTGAATGAGATATATGAATTAATCACAACTAAAAAAACTCAATGCATAAGACAAACATTATTCTCCTTTTGGAGCTGTCATTTAATTTGTGGTATCTTAGAATGTAGAGCTGCTGTATAAATTTTTAAATACAATTCAACTTAAAATTAATTTTGTGGAGCAGTATTCCAATACACGCTCTTGAAATAATTGTACAAATCTCAGGAGTTCAAGATTTTAGCACAAGATCACTGACTCATATCATCCAGTAGAGATGAATGGGGAATGATGAGCTTGGTTACATGGAAAGTATACTCGTTAATTTATAAATTCTAGTCATAACTATAGTTCTCTGTTATTTTGAGTACTTTTTGTTGGTTTCTTTCTTGCCTTAGATTACAGACTAATAAATCCAATGTTGGTTGATTTTAGCAAAAAGAGTAAAATAAAATTCTGTATTAGTGGTTCTCAATCTCAGTTGTTTTGACATCTTCTTAAAGATTTATATATTATTTCAGGCCCTTAAATCTGCTTTTTTCCTCTAACTTATCTCAGAAACTTACCTGCTGATTTGTAAATTTAGTGTTAGATAAAAGTAATAACATATCAGGTACATTTTATTAATTTTAGTTAGCTCCAGCAGGTTTCCATCTCAGTCTGTTGAGTTGAGCTGAAGACAGAGTGATACTGAAAAAGACAGCAGGAACTAATATAAGGAGGGGGCATATATTAATATGGTCACAAAGTGGATGTTAAATAAATATGCCTGTGTGTAGAGAAACTCCTGTGAACCTCTTTTGAAAAATAAAAATGTATACTAATGCAGTAGCATTCAAACTACTTGTTCATTTGCTCACTTATTCATTTTTTAATAAAATTGTGAAATGTTTAATAGAAAATGTATGAGCAAAACAAATATGCATGCCATCATAATTTTTCCTTGAAAAAACTGATTCTGAAAATGGACATATAATGAATGACACATGCACATCCACAAAATGTGGTCATTACTAATGCAAAGTGTTATAAAGACAAGACTGAAAGTCATAGGACTTTAAATAGCATGAACAAATGAAATTACACATCATATGTTTTATGGAGCATACAAATGTAGTTAGTTTGCATAGTTCCATATTTGCTGTTTCTAAGATCACAAAATAAAATTTTAAAACCAAGAATAATAGCAGGTAAATACCATAAATAATACTGTTAAATTTCTGATAAACTAAACAAAATATCCTTCTAGATAATTGGGAATTCCCAGATCTATCTGCTTAATGGAAATGTAAGAATGCTAAGCATTAAATGGTAGCCAGATTGATTAGTGGATTACTGAATTAGAGTCTTCAGTAATATCTAAAAATCAATCATTTTAAGTTTGTGGATATCAAATAATTGACTGTTAATAACTTAGTACTAGTTGAAGTACTAGTAAATAGTTTTTGAGCATTATTTTTAAAAATGGGAAAATCAAAGGAATTTCTAATCATTTGCCCGTTAGCAAAGATAATGTAGTTGGGGATTGCTTTCAGTCTGTCAGAGGGTTCCCAAGATCTGTCAAGGGAGTTACAACTTTGGAAGGGAATAGAGTATTATAGAAATAAGATATTGATATTTTTCTCATCAGTGAAAACTTTTCAGTAGAGATTATTACCAGTGTACCTTGCAAGATTTTCTTCTGAATTTGAGGCCACTATATGTGTTCCTCAAGGAATATTATATTCATATTGGTGTTTCAGTATGTCATTTGATACTGTAACTGGCACAAATAAACAATCGATGGAATGAATCTGGGCAAGACAGTGTGTGATGCATTCTAAGTCCTCTGGGAACAAAGCTGTTTGAAACCAAGTTGATCTTGGTGTAGAAGAAGTAAAAATACCTTCCTCTGCCCTCGGACATGGTAGATGCATATTAGCTATGTAGGACTGCCATATCCCTTAGGAATACTCCTAAGAGAAGACAAGACAAGTAATATGCAGAATGAAAAAAAGGAATTCAGTAGTGAAAGAAGCTTTGTCCTCGAATAATTCTATTGGTCTCCTATATGATTTTTTAATTTGTATTAATATATCTGAAGATATGAACTATTTTTATTACTGAAGGTAAATTTTATTTATATCTGAAAATAATATACCTGTTTACTTGCAAAAGAAAAAAAACAACTCTTCTAATAATTAGATTGAGTCTATCTGCAGTTTAATTATATATGTAATCTGATCAATTAAATAAAACAACTTATGAAGTATCATAACAACTAACCTTATTTACAAACATTACTTTTTCTCATTTGGTCTTAGGGTTTTGACCCACCACATCAAAGTGACACAAGAACTATTTACATAGCCAACAGGTTTCCTCAGAATGGCCTTTACACACCTCAGAAATTTATAGATAACCGGATCATTTCATCTAAGGTAAAGATTAACACTTTTATTATTATTAAAATTGTAGATACATAGCGTTTTATTTTGAAAAATGATTTATTGTGTATGTTCAAGTTTATTTTGTATCCTTACAAAATAAAATGTGGTTAATAGATTTATCTTAATTAAAATGATGAGTTATGAAATAAAAGGAGTTGCTGGTTGCTGTAATCAGGTAGCCAACATGCCAAAAAATTACCTTTAGTTCCAATTAAACTAAGGAGCTAATACTTATATTTATGTGCTAGGTAGTATATTCATTACTTCTCATATCATTTAATCCTGAAAACAACCCTGTGAGATAGCTATTATTGAATCTATTTTACAAAGTGTTATTATACTCATTTTACTTTTCTTTTAAATTTATGCTGGGGTATTTAATTTTCCCATGTTTACACACTAGTAAGTGACTAGACTGGAGTTTGAACTCCATTCCATATGACTTTAAAGTCTGCTTGCCTCCAGTCTTATCACTTTTCTGTAAATGTTTTATGGTACCAAACTACTGCTTTACTCTTCTTCTTCCTTGTTTCATTTTTCTGTGTGACATTTTTAAGATGTCTTAGTTTATTTGAAGTTGAAGATTATACAGGAATGCTATCTAATAGACTTTTCTCTCATGTTGGAAATGTTTTCCGCATTGTTCAATATGATAGCCATTAGCCATATAGGGCTGTTGTGGCCTTGAATGTGACCAGTGCAACTGAAAAACTGAATTTTTAATTTAATTTAAATGTCAAGAGCCATATGTGACTAGTGGCTATCTTATCGAACACTACAGTTATAGAAGATTGGAGTCAATAGAAATTGAGTGTAAAGTTCTTAAGTCATAGCTAATGCTTGATAGAACACTGTAAGAAACATCTTCCCTCCTTTCCAGAGAGACTAATATTTTTTCTGTAATCCTGATTTCATCTTACCTAAGGATGTTGTCTTAGTTCAGGTGTTTCTTTGTCCTACCCCTTTTTTTCTGCTTTCACATTATTTATATATATGACATACCCATTAATGATGTCTTTTATTTTGGACAATAGCTCTAGAGCAGCAGGAGGAAGAGGAAATACCAGAATCTGTGATGATGGAGGAGCTCTATACTAATGACATAGTTTTTAGTAAATTATGTCAGAAATTAACATCCTTGAAATTTTTAAGATTTTCCTTAACTTGGAGTATTATTTAAATACAAGAAAATTCATCAGTTTTAAGTGTATAATTCGATAACTTCTGATAAATATATACCATGTGACCACCACCACAGTCAAAATGTGCAATATAGCTATGACTCCACAAAGTTCACTCATGCCCCTTTGCAGCTAGTCCCCCTCCTCCTTACCCTTAGCATTAGCAACCACTGATCTGTTTGCTATAATTATAGTCCTGCCTGTTCTAGAATTTCATATAAGTATAATCATACAGTTCAGATCTTTTGTATCTGACTTATTTTTACTTAACATAATGCTTTTGAAAGTCAGGTTTGTTGGTACAAGTGTCAGTATTAGTTTATTGCTTTCCTAGTGTACAGTTTAGCTGCTAGCCTGGGTTTATATCATTTATATCCTGAATTTGTGTCATTTTCTTTGTGTGGTTCTCTTGTATTTTCCCCTTACATTTCCAGCTAGCTTTATAGCTCTGAGCGCTAATATCTATCACATTTTTATATTTTGGTGAATAGGTCACGGTTCTCTTCTGTTTTGCTGCCATAGTTGTGGAAGTTGAACAGTGTCTCCAAGCTACGAAGTCCAAAATTTCTAGTTCTGTTTTCTTACAATTTTTTTCTTCTTTCCTTCCAAACTCTCTTCCATTTTAAAAACACTTTTCAGGATTTTAAATAGTTCTTAAATCTTTTTTTTTTTTTTAATTTTTACCTACTGGGAGTTCACAGGACCACTTCATTAAACTCTTCTGCCAATACAGAAAGCTGATTGTCCTTCCTGAAAACTTTTAGAATTAAATAAATGCCACTGTATGGCTTATTTCATAAGCAGGAGTATTGTTTCATATTTTGACCACAATTTCAAAAATATAGATGTTTAAATTAACATTGCCTTTTTAAAAACTTTTTCACCATAAATAAAGACTGTCATTACTACCTTCTTTCTTTTTTATCATGCCACTATTGCTTTCATAACTTCCTTCCCAACTAGATTACTTGCTATTACGAATGCTCATGTCAAATTTGCCTACCAAGGTACCTTTGCTAGATTCCTTCCTGTTAGCCACAGCTTTTAAAATGTAAAATTTTGTGGAGATTCTAGATTTTTTTAAAATATAGAATTCATGTCTTTGAACCCGATTTTAAGATTGTAGATATTTATGTAGACACTATTACTTTTTTCCTGAATGTAAGTGAAGCCTGACTCTTGATTATTCTCTTTTTACTATCTTTTTACCATCCTGTTATCTCCTTAAACTCTTTCCAGACTGTGTTATCTTGTCCCACAAATCCATGATGAATTTTCTCATACTGTCCTGTCTTTCTCAAATGTTCTCCGTTATTTGCTTTTAGTTTTCAGCTTGTTGAATGTTCCTTGTTTAAAGCCCCCATCAAATATGACCCTCTTCATTAACTTTTTCGTTCTCATTTTCTCCTTTTCCTTTGAATTATTCATGTTCTTTTGTTTACTTCATCTTTGAATACAACTGTTAATATTTTGTTCTTAACCTCCTCTATTTAATAATAAGCTTCTTTGTTTCCCCTATCAATTAAGTGTTATACACATTTTTAGGTACATGATCTGCTTTATTTCCTTTCATTGGCCATAGTAAGTGCCCTATATTGAATTTAAACTTCTTTGTAAAATATTTAATTTCAATGGGTATAATAACACATGCCTGTAATCCAGCAGCTTGTGAGGCTGAGGTATGAGGATTACAGGTTTGAGACCAGCCTCAGCAACTTAGCAAGGCCCTAAATGACTTAGTGAGATCCTGTTTCAAAATAAAAAGGGCTGAAAATATAGCCACCCAATTGTTACCAAAAAAAAAAAAAAAAAAGCATGTAATATTGCACCAGAGGAAATTAGATAAACTGCTTCTTCAAAAATTTTAAATTAATTTATTGCTTTTCGTTTTCAACTTGTTGAATGTTCCTTGTTTAAAACCCACATCAAATATGACCCTCTTCATGAACATTTTCTTTCTCATTTTTTCCTTTTTCTTTGAATTATTCATGTTCTTTCATTTACTTTATCTTTGAACACAACTGTATTTCACATTGATTAATTTAAGATTTTTGAAGAAACAGTTTATCTGATTTCTAAAAAATCAACAATTTAGTAGCAAAATTGATAAGTTCCAGTTTATCTAATTTTTAACCACTAAGGCTTCATTATCTGAAGTCAGCATATTTGAGGGGGAAAAAACTTATTTTGACCATTTTTATTTATTCATTCACTGATTCTGCAAAATTTTTGATCTCCAACCTTGGGCCAAGTGTAGCTTAAGTACCTGAGATACAAAAATAGATAAAATAATGTCCCTGGTCTCCGGGATCTTACATTCTACTGGGAGAATAGACATAGGGTAAAGTAAAAGTTCTATAAACTATCTCCCTATTTTATGTATAAAGTTATGTTGTGTGTAATGATGCAAATAAAATCTTTAGTATATTACCCTGTCCCTATAAACAGCATTATGAGCTATGAACTGAGTAATTAATAACAAACACGTAGCAATTAGGATGAGCCACGTTCTATTCTACATCTTCATTTATTAGCTTATTTAATCTTTTTAAGAACCCTATAAGATATATGCATTATTATTATCTTCATTTTATAGAGGAACAAATGTGGGACACAGAGAGATTAAGTCCAAGGTTATTTATTTAATGAGTGTTATAATTAGGATTGGGGCCGAGTAGTCTAAGCCCCAAGCATCTAGCTCTTGACCATTAAAATCTACTGTCTTTTTAAAATTGACATTGTAACAGAGTTTCATTTCTCTTCTTGAGACTTTTTATTATTTATTTATTATTATTAATTTTTTATTTTTATTAGTTATACAGAATAATGGGTTTCTTTGTGGCATGTTTGTATGCTCATGTAACATACTTTGATCATTTACAATCACCTTTATGAAATTGTTTATGGTTTTCCCACTAATAATTTATCTGAAACATTCTTATTTCCTCAACATACTAGATAATTTTTCCATATTCTGTACTAAAAAAACAGATAACTGAATAATTTGATCATTTTCTATTTCTGACACTGAACCAAATGAAATAAATGTTATCTAGTGTCAGCATTTCCGTCAACTTTTATTCATGTTTACCATTATTTAATTTTGTATAACAAAGTCCAAAATAAATTATTAAAATATTGTCTTAGACCTGCCTTCTCTAACTTCTAAAAAATCAACAATTTAATAGCAAAATTTATAAGTTCCAATTTATCTAATTTTTGAAAAATGCATTAAAATTACTAATAGAGGAAAAAGGAAAGTAGAATAATAAGAACTACTGAAACTAGAAACCAGAGACTAGTTTCTATAGCATCTAGAGTTACAAAAGTGGGCTCAGTGGTGCACACCTGTAATCCAAGCTATTCAAGAGGCCAACGCAGGAGAATCTTGAGTTTGAGGCCAGCCTGGGCAACTTAGTGAGACCCTGTCTCAAAATAAAACATAAGAAGCACTGGGGATGTAGCTCAGTGGAGGGTTCAGTCCCTATTACCACACATGTGCGCGCATGCACACACACACACACAAAGGAAAAAAAAAAACTATATGAATTTGATGATTTAGTAAATCTGATTTTACTTTTCTTATGTTTACATCAATATAGCATATATTATATTATTTTAGGACATTAATTTATTGATACCTTTTTTCTTTCTTTTTTTTTTATAGTATACTGTGTGGAATTTTGTTCCAAAAAATTTATTTGAACAATTCAGAAGAGTGGCAAACTTTTATTTTCTTATTATATTTTTGGTTCAGGTAAGCTTTATCACTTAATGGATTATTGTTTGTAAACATGTTTTCTAAAAATATGTCTTAGAATAGGGAAAAATTACATTGTGTTCTTAGGTATTTGACCATGGGATCATTTTTTTTTTAATATTTATTTTCTAGTTTTCGGTGGACACAACATCTTTATTTTATATTTATGTGGTACTGAGGATCGAACCCAGCAACTCGCACATGCCAGGCAAGCGCGATACCGCTTGAGCCACATCCCCAGCCCATGGGATCATTTTTTTAAAATAAGAGGTGTCACAATGTAGTCAAGGAATAAATTCTCTAAATCACATCTAGATTTCTAAAAAATAGCCTATGGATTTTAAGATCAGTTGTATTTTGTTTCATTACTGATGTACCATAGAGCTGATAACTGAAATCTAAGCTAAGATATAACCTATCATAGTTCAGAATCTTGCCCAGAACATATTTTGGCTGTTAATATACAGTGCATATTTTTGGCACATGCCTGCCTATGGAATCATCTTTGAATAAAGTGAAATTCTTTTGTTTTTTTAATTTAAGTTTTATTTTAGCTGGGTATAATGGTTCATGCCTGTGGTCCTAGCTGTTCAGGAGGCTGAGGCAGAAGGATCACTTGAGCCCAGGAATTCGAAGCTAGCCTGGACAACATAGTGAGACCCCCATCTCAAATAAAGAAATTTTAATTTCAAATTTTTTAAACAGTTTTAATTTTAAGAATCTCCAGGAGTACAGAGTCTTTATTCAGGAGAGCCTTTTCTGTTCATTATAATCTGGTTTGCCAGTTTCTAAATCTTGATATTATACTTTTTCTTATACATCCAAATTATCAAGAGAGAAGCCTATGAAATCACTGAGTATAAGTCAAGATGTAAAAATAGTGATTATCATTTTCCTTCAGAGGTTATGCTTTTAGGAGAAAACTTCATAAATTTCTTTCAATATGGCATTGAAAATTTTTAATGAGCTCTTTACTTTTCTCTCAGTAGAACCTGGGATTTCAAAAGAAAAATTTAGGGCTGGATTTGTAGCTCAGTGGTAGAGCCTAGTATGTATGAGGCACTGGGTTCAATTCTCAGCACCACATTAAATAAATAAATAAATAAAACAAAGGTATTATGCCCATCTACACCTAAAAATATATTTTAAAAAAGAAAAGTTAATACTAGTCAATCATTTTAATGCTTTGGGAAACATTTACATTTTTTTTAAATTGCCTTTCTTTATGAACAGAGTTCAAGGATCTCCTGATTTATGTGTGTTTGGTTTTCTTGGAAAAGTGAGAAGTTATATTAGCCATATCCAAGTAGTATGCATGGCTTTGTGAAATAACTAGCTAAGATCAGGAATTTAGCATATCTGTGGAATAGAACAAATTTAATTGCCCTATTCAGAATAAAGGAACAGTAATAAGTCATAAGGCCCCTGTTCTTTCTAACCATATGTAATCACTGCTGTAAATACTTCTTTACTTCTCTAGCAACTTATTGAAACCTCAGTTGTATGATTTACATTTTAATTACAGCATCATTTTCTTTGCTGTCCCCCTCTGACTGCTGGATAGAACAAAATTGCTTGTAGGAAAAAACCTTTTCCATACTCCCATTCCTAGTTCTCGCTTCCCAGTGTTGAGTTTATTCTGAATGCGAGGGTAAAAATTACTGACAGATTTATCAGCATTTTTCAAGATGTGCAAATAAATTGTAAAACAAGATCTGAACAGCTGTAGCTCCACTTCTGGGCAATATTGAAGAAGAACTTAAAAGTACCCTGTGTGTTAAGAAAGCAGAGTGACTGAGTCCACACTAGCAATGTATGTGGGTGTACGATACAGATTTAAATATTCTACCAATCCTTATATCATAGCCAATAAGGTGAAGTTGTGAAATTATAAATTAAACTATACTTGCTGCATAATAGAATGAGATTTTAGATGTTAATAGTATGATGTACATGGTGTAAAAAAATAATACTCTGCATTCTTTTTAATCTAGCTCATGATTGATACACCTACCAGTCCAATTACCAGTGGACTTCCATTATTTTTTGTGATAACAGTAACCGCCATAAAGCAGGTATGAAATACTTTCTATTATTGTTGTTTTCATTCAATTCATTTAGAAATTGCTAAATCTTTCCACAACAAAGTAACATTTATTATCCTGAAAAGAACTCCATTTCTAAGAAAGCAATAAATTTGTTTAATATATAATAAAATTAAACTGTTAGCCAGTCTATTATATTTCAGGTACCTGATGACTGATAAATGATTACTATTATTAAAATGTTGCTCCTTTGACACAGCTAGGAAGCATGTTAAAAACAAATACTATATGTACAAGCCAATTTATATATGAAACAATTTATTATAATCATCTTAGTAGAATCTAGTGATATTTGAAGAAAATTAGTTTGAAGGAATATGTTTACAGGTAGTAAAACGCGTACTTCTGGATTGAACATTTGTGAATAAAAGTTGTATAGTGCTTTCTTAGTTTTTACAACTATTCTTTTATGTAAAGTAGCACCCTAACGAAAAAAGTTTCAGCCAAATTATGAGTTTACATTAAAATCTAGGTGTAGAGACACAAAATTATTGGATAAACATACTAATTAAGAAATAAAGTCTTCTTTAAAATGTCATGTTGTTATAGCTAGCACTCTCAAAAAATCTTGACAGGATCTCTGATTATACAGAGATGTGATCCCTACCAACGGAGAGAGTTAATTGACTTTTCTTATCTAAATGTGATGAACTTTCATTTTGTACTATATAGGGCTGGGCACAGGGTAATCCCAGTGGCTTGGGAGGCTGAGGCAGGAGGATTAGGAATTAAAACCCAGTCTCCAAAACTTAATGAGATCCTGTCTCTAAATAAAATGTTTAAAAAAGGACTGGAAATGTGGCTCAGTGGTTAAGTGCCCCTGGGTTCAATCCCTGCTACCAAAAAAAAATAAGAAGAAGAAGAAGAAGATGTAGAGATAAGGTATAGATGGACATGAAAATAAAATTGACAAACACTTTGGGATGAAGTATGTTCTTTATCATGTAAGGAGGATAAGAGGAGTCTATGGATTAACAATTAAATTATGAATCTAGTGTAGCAAAGAATATTGAGCCACAGCTCTTAGTTTGATTTCTTTCTTTACTCTTCTATCAAGGAATAGAATTGGTGCATGTAATTCAGTAAGCATTCAAATCATTCTGTACAGTTTTCCAGATGTCATTTTTCTCATCAGAGTAACACATATTCATCCCTTGTACCTCTTATATATATATATATATATATATATATATATATATATATATACTTTCCTCTTAAGTGATTTCATCTAGTCTGGTGATTTAAAGTAACATCTGTATGTTGATAGTTCTCAAATTTATATCTATCTTTAAACTATTATTTGAACTTCCAACACATGTACAACTGTTTACACAACAGTTCTGTTTATTATGTCTTACAAGAATCTCAAACAGAACTCTTGATGTTTTTCCCTCTAACGCTTATTAAAGTTTATTAATGGCTCTGCCATCTCTCCACCGCAAACCTTGGCATCTCCTTCTTTGACTATTTTTGTCCCTAGCTTCAAGATCTACCTCATTAGTCTAAGTTATCATGATCTCTTCCCTGGACAATTGCATTATTCTTCAAATAGTTTCTCACTTCTACTCTTGCCTTCCTGCTGTTTCCATACAATAGCCAAATTGATCTCTTAAAATCAGATAATACCACCCTCCCATTTAAAACTGTGCAGGGTTTCTTGTCTGACCAAAACACAATCCATTTCAATGATCTACACAGACATACAGTCTAGTTCCTGGTTCTCTTTATTTCCCATTGTTTTTACATTCACTCACTGTCCTCCAGCCGTACCCTTCTCTTTGTCCTCAAATGCAGTAAGCATGCTCCTATCGAAAAGCTTTATGACTTGCTGCTGTACTCTTCCTGGAAAGTTTTTCTACCAGGTAATTGCATGGCTCAATTCCTCATTTTACTTAGATACTTGAACTTTGGCTTTTCCTGGTCATAGCATACCATTCCCTAATGTTTTTTTCCATCTTTTTTCTTCATATCATTATTCTGACTTGGTATTCTGTTGAATTAATGTTTGCTTAAAGTTTATCATTTTCATTCAAATGTTTAGCTCTAAGGACAGAGACTGTTTTATATACTGGCTTATTTCCAGTGACTGAATGAGACCATACACCTCTATGGGCTTTTAAATATTAGCTGAATAAATGAATAAATTAACCTATTGAATATTTTTTAAAGCAATGTAAAATGTTGTTATATGTCTTGTCCTTATTTCTCAGTATATATTGGCCAAATATGAACTGCATTTAATTGGAATTTGATACCATTCATGCAGTGAGTTGAAAAAAATTATGGTATATACCTATCCATAAAACAATCATTTAGTATAATTACAATAATAATTGACATCCTGTCTTCTTCTAAAATGGGTTAGGTAAAAATGCATAAAATCTAAAGTAGGAAACAGGGAAATTATACTTCAAACTTGAGTTAGTATGGTTATTGCTGTTGTGAACTAAATTTTTTTTTAATTTTTTTTTCATTGTAGATGAACACAATACCTTTATTTTGTTTGTTTATTTTTCTGTGGTGCTGAGGATCAAACCCAGTCCTCACACATGCTAGGCAAGCACTCTACCACTGAGCCACAATCCCATCCCCTAGAACTAAATGAGAATTTCTTGACACCTAATGCAAAAGAGGAAATATATAATTTTCAAAGAGAAAATTTAACCTATAAGGCTTTTCTGCCTTTCTCAAAGCAAATTTAAGGACTTGAATTTTTCTATTTTGTAATAACTATTCCTAAGTTTACTCATTTAATAAACAAAGAAAGTACTTTCTTCGATGTATTATTCAGTCTTTATGTCTGTCACTATAAATCAAGAGAAGAAATTTAGAAAAATTGTAGAAGTGAAAGTTGCTATGATCCAACCTTATTGGTATTCTTTTCTTCTCCCTTTTTAGTTTGCTTTTGCTTTTTTCACTTTTGCCAAAATAGGAAAGACTCTATTACCAGTTGTTTGTTTTTAAATTTTTCCCATCTGTATATACCTGTCATGTATTCTCAAGATATAGTGCTCTGGTAAATAAGATGGTCTCTACCTTTTAGGAGCTTTAACTCCATGAAGTAGGAAGGTAAGACCAAAGACAAAAATAACCACATAGAGTGGTAATAAGATATGCTAGACATGACTGTTCAAAAAAGTGATGTAGCACTTCATCTGGATGATCAAGGAGGATTCTGTGGAGGAATGTTATTTAGATGAGTCTTAGAACATGGACAAAATAACAAATGAAAAATGTTAAGGTAGAAATAAACTCAAAGACTCAAATGAGAGAAAAGACAAGACCTATTTTGGGGAATTATAAGGCTAATTAATGTTTGAGCCTCTTTAGGAAAATACTAAGAGGTAATAGTAGAAATTAACATAGATACTAAATTAAGGAAGCTACAAGATTCTTGTTCTAAGGTTTGGGAGTCACCAGGGATTTTGAGCAGGATAGTAAATTAAAACAATGTTGTAGGAAGATTGATCTGACAATAATACGTACAAGGAACTAGAATTTATAAACTTATATTAGAAAAGATATTGCCTTTATTATTATAGCTTTGCTGTTAATGTCTTCCAACTATAAAAGTGTACTTTTTGACGGTTTCAGAACAGATGTTTTGACTCCATTAAATTTTTCTCACATTGACATATCTTAGCTTAAATAGGGCCAATATAACTTAGCCTATCTATCTAAAGTGTTCATATAGGTAAGGATATTTTCCACAAACGGTAATATAAAACATAGTCTATAATTCTATACCTTACTTTCTATCATTTAATGTTATCTCTTAAGTATCATCTCATTATCTGTACTTATACTTTACCTTGCGTCTTTGATTAAATAACACAGAAAGTCTTTTCTACTTAAAAAAAATTATATTCCTTAACATCAAAGGATTCTTGGTGAAATATTTGTCTGTTTCCCTTTCTAGTAATGACCCATATAGCCTACCCTGTTTTTAATGGTACTACAGATTGAGCATTCTTTATCTGAAATGGTTGGGATGAATTACTTTGGATTTCAGGGTTTGTTTTTTTTTTTTTTTTTCAGATTTTTGGGATATTTGCATGTGCAAAATAAGATACCCTGGGGATGGGACCCAAATCTAAACATAAAATGCATTTATGTTGTATATTCACTTTGTACTCTTGGCTTGAAGATAACTTTATACAGTATTTGAGATATTTTTGCACATGATGTTTTACACATGAGATCAGGTGTGGAATTTTCCACTTGGGGCATCATGTCATTACTCAAAAAGTTATGAATTTTGGAGCATTTTGGGACTCCAGTTTTCAGGTTAGGGATGCTCAACCTGTAATTATAATTAATTCTTTTGGTCTATTGTTTAAAAAAGTGAACAGAGTCAATCTCAGTTTCAAAATCTTCTTTTTCTTCTGTTTATAGTCTTTAATAATACAGTGTGAATTTATGTTTTGTAATTAAAATAAAATATTATTTGTACATTAAAGTGATAGAATTTAGTGATGGAATAGTGTTAGGAAAATAGGAGTCAAGAATATGACTTTGCAAGGTCTGGGGATATAGCTCAGTTGGTGTAGTGCTTGCCTTGCATGCACAAGGCCCTGGGTTCAATCCCCAGCACCACAAAAAAAAAAAAAAAAAACAAGAATGACTTTGTAGATTTTTGGCATGAGTAGCTGATAGTGACATTTGTCAAGTTAGGAAATATGGAAAATGCAACAAATTTGGGGGGAAATATCCTAAATTTAGTTTGTAAGATATTTATGAGACATCAAAATGGAGATAATAATGCAGTTAGATATTAAGTTTGGAATCAGAAGGATATGAATTAGAGATAGAAATTTCAGAATTACCATATATTTTGTATTATATGAATACACAGAAATAGTGAGAATGAAGTGTGAGAAAAGGGTCCACAAAGGTAATGTGGACCTCCAATAAGGAAATGGAGAAGTAGCTAGAGAGAGCCTATGAAAACAGGAACCATGTATATCATGAAAACCAAAAGAACAGAGTATTTCTAGTAAGAACAAATGTCGAATATCTGGTGAATGAAATTTTTTTTTATTCTTTTTTTTTAAGAGAGAGAGAGAGAGAATTTTTTAATATTTTTTTTTTAGTTTTCAGTGGACACAACATCTTTGTTTGTATGTGGTGCTGAGGATCGAACCCGGGCTGCATGCATTCCAGGCGAGCGCGCTATCGTTTGAGCCACATCCCCAGCCCTGAAATGTTTTAAGGAAGTTTTCACAATGTTTTTCTTACTTGATCAAAATGGTTTTAAAATTATACTGAAAGGGGTATTTTTTTATTCTTTGTATATTTACAGGGATATGAAGATTGGTTACGACATAACTCGGATAATGAAGTAAATGGAGCTCCTGTTTATGTTGTTCGAAGTGGTGGCCTTGTGAAAACTAGATCAAAAAACATTCGGGTATGCATCTAGTAAATAATAGAAAATAGTATTTTGATATTAGAGCATTAATTTCTATCTTGATTATACTTTAGTACAACAGGCTTTAGCCTGTTTTTTCTACATAAATGTAATATGATAGGGGCTGGGGTGCAGCTCAGTGGTAGGGTGCATGCCTAGCATGCTGGAGGCCCTGGATTTTACTCCTAATACCAAAATAATAAGAAATAAAATAAAGTGAAATACTCTGATAAGGTACTTATTTAGAATCTAATAAAATAAGTCCTTACCTTTTAAAATCTGTTTACTCAGCTTTCCCCCCAAATTTTTCATAGGTGGGTGATATTGTTCGAATAGCCAAAGATGAAATTTTCCCTGCAGATTTGGTGCTTCTGTCCTCAGATCGACTTGACGGTTCATGTCATGTTACAACTGCTAGTTTGGATGGAGAAACTAATTTGAAGGTTTGTTCATATATATGTTAGAGTGCTGCTCTTGATGAACAAAATAGCTTTGTGTTATTACTGATATTTTCCTTTGGTTAAGTAATAAAATTTGATCTGATGAAGGAGAAATTTTTTTAAATTACTGAAACTTTTAAAAAAGCATGATTTTTAAAAAGAATAAGTGTTATTATGTATCTATTTTAAGAGTAGCCCAACATGGTTTAGTCAATTCAAGCTGAAAATGGAAAGTATATTTTAGGAAAAATATAGTCTTATTATTATTTGTGATGATTATTTTTTTGTGTGTGTATATACACACCAGGGATTGAACTCAAGAGCACTCGACCACTGAGCCACATCCCTAGCCCTATTTTGTGTTTTATTAGAGACAAGGTCTCACTGAGTTGCTTAGCACCTCAAAGTTGTTGAGACTGGCTTTGAACTCGTGATTCTCTTGTTTCAGCCTCCCAAGTTGCTGGGATTACTGGCGTGCATCACCATGCCTGGCATGATGGTTTTTTATCTAAGGGACAACTTTAAATTTTTTCAGTTTTCAGACTACAGCCAAGAGTGAAAATTCACATTTTTTTCCCTGTTAAATTGCTTATAATAAACTTTGAACAGTAGTGACTGTATGCACACACTTCATTTCCTTGTATGTAAATGGCCTCCATAGACAGGTAATCTCAGCAACCCCTTTCTTCTTTCCCTTCTGTTTTATTATCTAGCTGAGTTATCTCAAGTACAGTAGGTTTTATCTGTAAAAGAGATTTGAAGTACCTGATATCTAAAGTCACATTTGGTTACAGTTTAATCCTTTTTTCCCCCTAGACACATGTGGCAGTTCCAGAAACAGCAGTATTACAAACAGTTGCCAATTTGGACAGCCTTATAGCTGTAATAGAATGCCAGCAACCAGAAGCAGATTTGTACAGGTATGATGTTCAGTGTACTCATTGTAAATCCCATTAATAGACTTCGTTTTTTGGTTTTATAACCATAAGCAGAAAATCAAATTTTTATCTAATTGGTAATATTATTTATGGAGAAGGTAAAGGAAGGGTGAAATTGAGGACAGCAATTGGGGAGGGGATAAAAGCAGTTTTTACCAGAATTCTAAGCAGAAGATATGAATTTAAAAGCAATACTTTTATTCACATGCCTTCCGTTATCTTCTACTGTTATGAACCAGCATGCTCACATATAGCTCTAAAATCTATAGAGCTGCAGAAGTAGTATTATTGCTTTTAAGCCCTCATAGATTTGGGGCTTTAATAAATATACTGACAAATTACAGAAGCATTGTAATTGGACTGATTTTTATCACATAAGCAAAGTAAAAGTTTATGAGATTTTTTTGTTGTTTCAGATTTTTACTATCATTAAGTGTTATAATTTTAAAATGTTTACTAATTTTATAGATAATGATTTTAAACTATATTTTTTATCAAAAAGGTTAAGTCGTTTTCCATGCTTGTTTTTGTTTTTCTCTCTTAAATTGTGCTTCTTTCCAATTGCCTATTTATTAATTGGGATTACATTATTCCTCTTTAAGAACTTTTAATAGTTTATTGAAAGTAACTCATGTGGTAATGAGTGATCTGTGCTAAACTACTGAAAAATAGTGCTCCTTTCTATTTAGGAGCAGCCTCTAGCATGTGCCTATTTCACAGAAGTCTTCATTTTCTCTTTTTTTGGCTGCTTTAGTTCTCTTTGTTTTCTTTCTACCCATTTATATTTTAGACTTTTACATAGCTCTTCTATATTTAAGATTTTTCCCTAATAAAATAACATTTTGCTTCTAGGAATCTATCTTAATGAAAATGTGAAAGGATATATATATGCAGTGTTATTCAGTCAGGACTATATTGTTTAGGCTGTTCATAAGTTGAGAAATAAACCTAAACTTCATAGTAGTGGTTTAAGTAAATTATGCAATAACCAAGAAATGCAGTACTATGTGTGGCTATTAAAAATAATGATGTAGATATGCTTTTGATTGGGCATGTTAAGTTGGGAGAAAAATGTTAATATCACTATTTATATTGTGATCCTGTTTTTGTTTTTAAGATACATACATACATGCATACGAATATAAAAAAACCTGGAAAACGTACTCCAAAATATTAGCAGTATTTGTATTTGGTAGTGGGATTACCAACATTGTGAGTTTTAAAAATATTTTCTTAATTGTTTTATAAAATATTCATATATTTGAGTATGTATGTAGCTTTTGTATTTGAAAGGGGAATAATAAAGTGATTTTGAAGAACATCAAATGTGGATTTGAAACAAAGGATAAAGAAGACACAAGATGGATTGGGCCAGTGTGAAACTGACCTGAACAGATAACTTAGAAGTGCCTAGAATCAAGAATAACAGAACAGGGCTGGGGATGTGGCTCAAGCAATAGCACACTCGCTTGGCATGCTCGAGGCGCTGGGTTTGATCCGCAACACCACATAAAAATAAAATAAAGATATTAAAAAAAAAAAAAGAATAACAGAACAAATAAAAAGAAAAGAAACAGCTCCTTTGTTGGAATTTAGCTAAGGGAAACAAAAGTACTGATCACACATCATCTCTGAAACGTGTCTAGAGAAACACTAGCTGAATTTTTTTTTTAATTTTTTTTTTTTTTTTTTTTGTGGTGCTGGGGATCAAACCCAGGGCCTTGTGCATGTAAGGCAAGCACTCTATTAACTAAGCTATATCCCTAGCCCAAATTGTTTTCTTTGAATCTAAATTCAAAGTCTAGGAGTTAAGACTACATAAAATTCCACTGTAAGTGGAGAAAATAAGAACAGTACTTCGCATTGACATAAACTGACAAAAATAGAAACAAGAAACTGGAAAGAAACAATGAAGTCAAAGTCTCCAAGGGATAAAGGATCTGTGACTTGGAAACAGAATCATAGGGGATATTTGAAAAGGGAGTACTTAATATTTCTTTGCCTAAAGATTAACATGATACTTTGTCTAGAATTTGCTTCAACTCAGAATTTGCTTCTTACTATAGTAGAAATAACTGTGTTCATGAATTGACTCCTTGCTCTGGTGATGTTTTGGTGGTAGATGGGATTGAAAGGCCCAGCTGGAAGTCCATTATAGAATGGTTTCACTCTAGATTTCAAGCAATGGACACTTTAAATATAACTGCAAGGCTAAAGAAGTCCAGAAGTTCACTGATAGGTTTTTTGCTTACCACTCTATCCCTACCATATAACTCATACATTAAATAGTTGCTCAGTGAATATATGTTGAATGAATGAATGTATAAGCTGGTTCAGTGACATATAGTCACAAGAGTCATTAGTCAATTATAATGAAACATGTAGACATTCATTGTTGGCTAAGTAACATATGCATTTTTGTGTAAAAACTATAAATTCTCATGATGATCAAACAAATAATAATAGTAAAAACATAGCATTTATATTTTGAAATTTTTTTAAATTTATTAATTACCAGGAGTAGAAAAGGCAAGATTACTAAGTGTTTTAAAGCAAAAGGACTATCTTTATAATTTCTAGCATGAATATTGAACATTCATATATGCAAAAGGTTCATTTTTCTTTTATATATATGCAACTAGTGCTAAAACTAAGGTGTTTCACCCATTGATTTATAAGTAATATATTTTTGTAACATAGTGCATTCTTTTATAGATTCATGGGACGAATGATAATAACTCAACAAATGGAAGAAATTGTAAGGTAAGAATAAATTCACATTATCTAATTACTCTTAAGTGGGAACTCTTTGTGGGAGGGGCTAAAAGGTAAAGGGAGATTAAGTAAACAACAATGTATCAGAAAAGTTTAATATAAAAGCATTCAGAACTTTATATGCTGGTAATTTATGGTGGCAATGAGTAAAGGTAAAATATCTTAGAAAATGTTATCAAGTAATTTAGTAAGATTTGTATATTTTTATTTCTTTCTTTAATAATATTAGGTAGTACCTTTAAAAGGAAATAGCTGCTGTGTTCAGATCCTTATGTATTTAAAGCCATGCTTAAAGTCAAGAACATGAGGGCTTGGAGGCATAGCTAAGTGGTAGTCATGTGCTTAGAACCCTGGGTTCTGTCTATCCCCAGCACTAAAAAAATAAAGAATGTGAAAAACTTCATATGTAATATTTAGCAAGTATAAATGCAATGGTCTTCCTGACTTCATAATCATGGATTTCAAACTGGAGTATGTAGGGACCAGTCCAGGACCATTCACTCACTCTTCTATTGGTTATTTGCTTGGTTGATTGTTTTGATTTGTTTTTCCTCAAAATTCAGGTTAATTTTTGGGATTTAAATGAAAGACTTTGGGTCAGTTCAAAGATTAGCTGGTAGAAAGAAATTACATAACTTTAAAACTTAATTTAGAATCAATGTTGGAATCAACCCTTGAATTTCTAATCAAATTTGACATGCCACCTCTTTTGGGGGGACATGTTCATTTATATATATGTGTGTGTGTGTGTGTATTTTTTAGTTGTAGTTGGACACAATACCTTTATTTTACTTATTTTTATATGATGCTGAGGCTCAAACCCAGCACCTCACACGTGCTAGGTGAGTGCTCTACTGCTGAGCCACAACCTCAGCCAAGATATATTCATTTTATACTAGCTGCATGAAATAAGTCACTAACAGAATGAATTGGGCATTTTTAAAATGAAATCCTAAAGACAAGCCACCAAAAATTCATGCATCAGCACTGATTCACATTTTTAATAAATTTTAACACAGAACCACATTCTGTAAACTTTAATAAGATCTTGATATGTGTAAGATCCCTGCTGAATAACTGACTGGGTTTTATTTTTATTTCTGTAGTGAAATAATGAAAAAATATGTGGATTCATCATCTTCATTAACATTAAGATATTGTGGCTGGTAAAGGAAAGTAGCAGTTTTGTGACTTCAGCTCCTAGTGGCCAAAAAATGAACCACTTTCTTTACTGTAGCAACTGGAGTCAACTGATGAATTACCTTTTAATCTGAAGCTGTCATTTTAGCCCAATTTTGTATACCAGTGTCAACTCAAAAGATTTCTATCCATTGTTAAATCCAATATTAAGTGCAAAAGAATTGTTGTATAACTTCTGAATATTTAGTTGCAATATTCATAGCGAGGACTCCAAATACGACTATTTAATAAAACCATACTTATTAGCCATATTCCAAACACCTAGTCCTCCTTGGTTCTGTTGCAGTGTTTGGGTTTGCAGATACTTTCATAAATGGTTCAGATTCTGTCCAATTTAGAAAAATATATATTTCAGAAAAGCATAAGGAATATCAACACACTGAAGGTTTTTTTTTTTTAACTTATCAATAACAGACTCTTCATTTTGCTATCACTACAATTTCCTTTCTAGTTATACCTTGTGGTTTTGAATCTCCTTTATGGAGAGAAATTCAAACAGCAAGAAGACCTGTGCTCCAAGAAGTATTCAATGCAAGTAGTCAAGTTGTAATGTGCATTCCTGCATACAAAAGACACTAACAAACTTTCTACATTATATTTTGTAATCCAGCATAATTTTAGTTGTGCAAACTCATGCATTTATACACAAATCATACTATAATCATTTATAATGCATTTTAATTCTGTATTTCCCTTCTAAAGCTGTTTATTAATTTTGCTCAAGTTTTTAAAATTTTATCTTTTACTAAACTTTCTTAAATTACTGCTTTTAAACATTTAAAAAATTTTGAAACTAGTGGCTTTGTGAATTTATTACATGTCTAATTTTATTTTTCAGCCACTAACTTTAAAGTGACGTAAATGCTAAAGCAGGTGTTTGTTGTTATAATAACTAACATCATGGTTGGCCTAGGTAGCAGAGTACCTGGGATTTTGGTTTTATATGAAAGCAGAGTTGTAGCTATAGCTTGAGTACCTCCTACTGAAGATGTCCTTTAATTGAATTGAATTTTTAATATATTCAATGCTCTTTGATGTTCTCTTTTTTCTTAGACCTTTGGGACCAGAGAGTCTCTTGCTTCGTGGAGCCAGATTAAAAAATACAAAAGAAATATTTGGTCTGTATATATTTTTAAATTTTTAATTATTATTTTGTATTGATATTATTTTTTATTTTTTAAGAATACAGCATGTATGGTCTTTTTGTTAAATAATTCAATTCTTATAATGTTATATATTATAATTTTCTTACAAACATTGAATTAATTTTGTATTTTTTGTTGTTAATCCTTGTTGTGTTTTTTTTTGTTGTTGTTGTTTGAGTAAGAGACTAGAAACTTGCTCTTATACTGTCTTTGTGGATACTTGTAAAATAATGCCAAGAAAATAATTCTGGTATTTCTAGTAATGTGGATGAGAGCTAATATAATCTACCATTATGGTATAGTAAATTATCTCTGTAATTCCGTTGTGATTATTTTTAGATTAGATTAATTACTGCTCTCTTATTCATTCATATGTTCATTTATTCAGTGAATTCCTGTTGACCTAACTATAAACCACATATTATTGGGACATATGCTGTCTTTATCAGAATAAATAATAAATAGTGCTCTTGCCTGGGAAAATGAATTTAGTACACTCTGAACTCACTCTAGGCCAACTGTGAGATTCGTGATAATCTTTATGTATCAACTAGTTTCTCCCATTTCAGAATACTTCTTAGTACTCTGGCCCACTGTTGCCCACAGGTTTTTAGGTCTTGCTTCTGATTTTCTTTTTTTTTTTTTTTAATTGGTTGTTCAAAACATTACAAAGCTCTTGACATATCAAATTTCATACATTAGATTCAAGTAGGTTATGAACTCCCAATTTTACCCCAAATACAGATTGCAGAATCACATCGGTTACACATCCACATTTTTACATAATGCCCTATTAGTAACTGTTGTATTCTGCTACATTTCCTATCCTCTACTATCCCCCCTCCCCTCCCCTCCCATCTCCTCTCTCTACCTCAATCTACTGTAATTCATTTCTCTCCTTGTTTATTTTCCCATTCCCCTCACAACCTCTTATATGTAATTTTGTATAACAATGAGGGTCTCCCTCCATTACCATGCAATTTCCCTTTTCTCTCCCTCTCCCTCCCACCTCATGTCTCTATTTAATGTTAATCTTTTCTTCCTGCTCTTCCTCCCTGCTCTGTTTTTTGTTGCTCTCATTATATCAAAGAAGACATTTGGTATTTGTTTTTTAGGGATTGGCTAGCTTCACTAAGCATAATCTGCTCTAGTGCCATCCATTTCCCTGCAAATTCCATGATTTTGTCATTTTTTAGTGCTGCGTAATACTCCATGGTGTATAAATGCCACATTCTTTTTATCCATTCATCTATTGAAGGGCATCTGGGTTGGTTCCACAGTCTAGCAATTGTGAATTGTGCTGCTATGAACATCGATGTGGCAGTATCCCTGTAGTACGCTCTTTTAAGGTCTTCAGGGAATAGTCAGAGAAGGGCAGTAGCTGGGTCAAATGGTGGTTCCATTCCCAGCTTTCCCAGGAATCTCCATACTGCTTTCCAAATTGGCCGCACCAGTTTGCAGTCCCACCAGCAATGTACAAGAGTACCCTTTTCCCCACATCCTCGCCAGCACTTGTTGTTTGACATCAGAATGGCTGCCAATCTTACTGGAGTGATATGGTATCTTAGGGTGGTTTTGATTTGCATTTCTCTGACTGCTAGAGATGGTGAGCATTTTTTCATGTACTTGTTTTTTTTTTTTTTAATTTTTTATTGTTGGTTGTTCAAAACATTACATAGTTCTTGATATATCATATTTCACACTTTGATTCAAGCAGGTTATGAACTCCCATTTTTACCCCATATACAGATTGCAGAATCACATCAGTTACACATCCATTGATTTACATATTGCCCTACTAGTGTCTGTTGTGTTCTGCTACCTTTCCTATCCTCTACTATCCCCCTTCCCCTCCCCTCCCCTCCCCTCTTCTCTCTCTGCCCCCTCTACTGTCATTCATTTGTTCCCCTTGTATTATTTTTCCCTTTCTCCTCACTTCCTCTTGTATGTACTTTTTTTTTTTACAATTATCTTTAATTTTTTATTGTTGTTTGTTCAAAACATTACATAGTTCTTGATATATCATATTTCACACTTTGATTCAAGTGGGTTATGAGCTCCCATTTTTACCCCATAACAGATTGCAGAATCACATCAGTTACACATCCATTGATTTACATATTGCCATACTAGTGTCTGTTGTGTTCTGCTGCCTTTCCTATCCTCTACTATCCCCCCTCCCCTCCCCTCCCCTCCCCTCTTCTCTCTCTACCCTCTCTACTGTCAATCATTTCTCCCCCTTGTATTATTTTTCCCTTTCACCTCACTTCCTCTTGTATGTACTTTTTATAACCCTGAGGGTCTCCTTCCATTTCCATGCAATTTCCCTTCTCTCTCCCTTTCCCTCCCACCTCTCATCCCTGTTAAATGTTAATCTTCTTCTCCTGCTCTTCGTCCCTACTCTGTTCTTAGTTACTCTCCTTATATCAAAGAAGACATTTGGCATTTGTTTTTTAGGGATTGGCTAGCTTCACTTAGCGTAATCTGCTCTAATGCCATCCATTTCCCTGCAAATTCTATGATTTTGTCATTTTTTAATGCAGAGTAATACTCCATTGTGTATAAATGCCACATTTTTTTTATCCATTCATCTATTGAAGGGCATCTAGGTTGGTTCCACAGTCTTGCTATTGTGAATTGTGCTGCTATGAACATCGATGTAGCAGTGTCCCTGTAGTGTCGCGACCCCTCGCCAGCAAGGGAAAACACGACACAGGATTCTTCTTTCAGCAGTTTATTCAGGCCTTGTTTCATGTATCATCTTCTAGCGACCCCCCTGCCGAGCGCCCAAGCATAGCCTAATAAAGCTTACTCAAGTCCAATCCAAAGCTGCCACGCGGGGTTTTCTCATACGGTGTTGAGGGACAGCATGCCAACCTTCCCTAATAAGGAGTTGTTTACCAAGATCCACAACGAAGACCGGCGCCATCTTCTAATGGCGGCAACGGTCTACAAACACGGCTCACCACACTGTAGCATGCTCTTTTTAGGTCTTTAGGGAATAGACCAAGAAGGGGAATAGCTGGGTCAAATGGTGGCTCAATTCCCAGCTTTCCAAGAAATCTCCATACTGCTTTCCAAACTGGCTGCACCAATTTGCAGTCCCACCAGCAGTGTACAAGTGTACCCTTTTCCCCACATCCTCGCCAGCACTTGTTGTTGTTTGACTTCATAATGGCTGCCAATCTTACTGGAGTGAGATGGTATCTTAGGGTGGTTTTGATTTGCATTTCTCTGACTGCTAGAGATGGTGAGCATTTTTTCATGTACTTGTTGATTGACTGTATGTCCTCCTCTGAGAAGTGTCTGTTCAGGTCCTTGGCCCATTTGTTGATTGGGTTGTTTGTTCTCTTATTGTCTAATTTTTTGAGTTCTTTGTATACTCTGGATATTAGGGCTCTATCTGAAGTGTGAGGAGTAAAGATTTGTTCCCAGGATGTAGGCTCCCTATTTACCTCTCTTATTGTTTCTTTTGCTGAGAAAAAAACTTTTTAGTTTGAGTAAGTCCCATTTGTTGATTCTAGTTATTAACTTTTGTGCTATGGGTGTCCTATTGAGGAATTTGGAGCCCGACCCCACAGTATGTAGATCGTAGCCAACTTTTTCTTCTATCAGACGGCGTGTCTCTGATTTGATATCAAGCTCCTTGATCCATTTTGAATTAACTTTTGTGCATGGCGAGAGAAAGGGATTCAGTTTCATTTTGTTGCATATGGATTTCCAGTTTCCCCGACACCATTTGTTGAAGATGCTATCCTTCCTCCATTGCATGCTTTTAGCTCCTTTATCAAATATAAGGTAGTTGTAGCTTTGTGGATTAGTCTCTGCGTCCTCTATTCTGTACCATTGGTCCACCAGCCTGTTTTGGTACCAGTACCATGCTGTTTTTGTTACTATTGCTCTGTAATATAGTTTGAAATCTGGTATCGCTATACCGCCTGATTCACTCTTCCTGCTTAGAACTGCTTTTGCTATTCTGGGTCTTTCATTTTTCCATATGAATTTCATGATTGCTTTATCTATTTCTATAAGAAATGCCGTTGGGATTTTGATTGGCATTGCATTAAACCTATAGAGAACTTTTGGTAATATCGCCATTTTGATGATGTTAGTTCTGCCTATCCATGAACAGGGTATATTTTTCCATCTTCTAAGATCTTCTTCTACTTCTCTTTTTAGGGTTCTGTAGTTTTCATTGTATAAATCTTTCACCTCTTTTGTTAGGTTGATTCCCAAGTATTTTACTTTTTTTGAGGATATTGTGAATGGAGTGGTTGTCCTCATTTCCGTTTCAGAAGTTTTGTCACTGATATACAGAAATGCGTTAGATTTATGCGTGTTGATTTTATATCCTGCCACTTTGCTGAATTCATTTATTAGTTCTAGTAGTTTTTTTTGTAGACCCCTTTGGGTCTTCTAGGTATAGAATCATGTTGGCTGCAAATAGTGATAATTTAAGTTCTTCTTTTCCTATTTTTATGCCTTTAATTTCTTTCGTCTGTCTAATTGCTCTGGCCAGTGTTTCAAGAACTATATTGAATAGAAGTGGAGGGAGAGGGCATCCCTGTCTTGTTCCAGATTTTAGAGGGAATGCCTTCAGTTTTTCTCCATTCAGAATGATGCTAGCCTGAGGCTTAGCATAGATAGCTTTTACAATGTTGAGGTAAGTTCCTGTTATCCCTAGTTTTTCTAATGTTTTGAACATAAAGGGATGCTGTACTTTGTCGAATGCTTTTTCTGCGTCTATCGAGGTGATCATATGGTTCTTATATTTAAGTCTATTGATGTGGTGAATAACATTTATTGATTTCCGTATATTGAACCATCCTTGCATCCCAGGGATGAATCCTACTTGATCATGGTGCACAATTTTTTGATGTGCCTTTGTATCCGATTCACCAGAATTTTATTGAGGATTTTTGCATCTAGGTTCATTAGAGATATTGGTCTGTAGTTTTCTTTCTTTGAGGTGT